CGTCCGGCAGGAGGTCCTAGGCCGGAGGATACAGCGACGCTGCAGCACACAGGAAGTGGTGCAACCTCACATTCAGGTCCTGGTAGTATTTTTTCCTGGCTAGTTGCAATTTCGCTCAGAAAATCCGTCTCCGAATATGAGCACCCTCCACACTCGGCCAACGCGCCGGCTATGGCTGACTTCTGAACGCGACGGTTATTTCGGTTAGGAATACGGATGTCGTTATTCCAGAGGACGGGAAACTCGACCTTGAGGCCATCGGTGTAACATCGAAATGATTGATTAATGCCGCTAATTAGTAGGGAAGGTGCTCCTTTGCCGCAGAAGGTGAAGGAGGCAGGGTGCGTCCGGCAGGAGGTCCTAGGCCGGAGGATACAGCGACGCTGCAGCACACAGGAAGTGGTGCAACCTCACATTCAGGTCCTGGTAGTATTTTTTCCTGGCTAGTTGCAATTTCGCTCAGAAAATCCGTCTCCGAATATGAGCACCCTCCACACTCGGCCATCGCGCCGGCTATGGCTGACTTCTGAACGCGACGGTTATTTCGGTTAGGAATACGGATGTCGTTATTCCAGAGGACGGGAAACTCGACCTTGAGGCCATCGGTGTAACATCGAAAGAGGCGCAAAACCCGCCAACGAGGGCGGGCCACCCTGTTCATCCTGATTATGCTACAATCGTCTCTATATACAATGCTGACTATAACAAGGTTAATATGCTGATTCAGTGGGAATCTTACGAGGTAATTGTATTACGCCCGCCACTCCGACATCGATGATGATTGTGTAACGCTCTAGCCTGCAGCCTGCCGGGAATACGTGGTAGAGGTTTTGTTTCCTCGGCGGGGGTTGGGGGCGGAAGCCCCCCCCAGGGGGGTCACAGGGGGCACAGCCCCCTGCAAAGGAAAGTTGTGTGAATAATCATGGTTATTTTCACTGTGCATTATATTATTAGTGCTATTTAATCCGGCATTTTCCCTGGAACCTTTCATGCCCTCCCCTGCTATCGGGGCCAAGTTTGACGCTTACAAGGGGTTTCCGCACAATAAAAACTATATATTTGCAATGTGGAGAGTGAGAGGAATCCAACGATACCAAAATCATCAATATCGATTATGCAGAGGTAATATAGAAAATTACCCCAACTTCGGTTACTATTTTGGTAATTTTCTATTTTACCTTCGCCTCTCCGATATTGACGATTTTGGTATTGTTGGATTCCTCTCACTGTCCACATTGCAAATAGATAGTTTTTATGGCGGGGAAACCCCCGTTAGCGACAAAGTTGGCCCAGATAGCAGGGGAGGGCATGAAAGGTTCCAGGGAAAATGCGGGGTTAAATAACACTAATAATATAACCCACAGTGAAAATAACCATGGTTATTCACATGACTTTCCATTGCAGGGGGCTGTGCCCCCTCGGACCCCTCAGGGGGGCTACCGCCCCCAACCCCCACCGAGGAAACAAAACCTCCATCACGTATTCACGGCAGGCAAGAGCGTTACACAGATATCGGCGATCTCAGAGCGGCGGACGTAGTACATTTACCTCGTACCATTCCCACTGAATCACCATACTAACTTTGACATAGCCAACATTGTATACAGATACGATTGTAGTATAATCAGGATGAACAAGGTATACCAAGAACAGAAGAGCGGTGGTGGCCCGCCCTCGTCGGCTGTCCGGGTTTTGCGCCTTTCTTGTTGCATCTAGTTCGTGTGCGCTCTATCCTGCCGTGAATACGTGGGGAATATTTTGTGTCCTCGGCGGGGGTTGGGGGTCGGCAGTCTCCCAGGGGGGAAAGTCTTGTGAATAACCATGGTTACTTTCACTGTGGGTTGTATTATTAGGGTAATTTTCAATATTACGTCCGCCGCTCCGGCATCGTCACCCCTGCTATTGGGGCCAAGTTTGCCACTAACGGGGGGTTTCCGCGCAATAAAACCTACATATTTGGATTGTACAGAGTGAGAGGAATCCAATGATACCAAAATCGTTGAAATCAGAGAGGCGAAGGTAATATAGAAAATTACCACTATTTCTTGTGTAAATTTAAAGTGGATAATAATCAGGGTTATCGTTGAAAAAAAAAGTGTAAGGAGTGATTACCTTGACATAACTTGAGACACTTTTCATCTAAGTCATATGGCGAGCAAAACAAAAATAGAGGAGTTCCTTGACAGAGAAGAGAGACCCATCCTTTGGTAATTTTCTATATTACGTCCGCCACTTTGACATCGACGATTTTGGTATCGTTGGATTCCTAGCACTGTCCACATTGCAAATATAGATTGTTTATTGCGCAGAACCCCCTCTATAGCAACAAACTTGGCCCCGATTGCAGGGGAGGGCAGGAAAGGTTCCAGGGAAAATGCAGGGTTAAATAACACTAATAATATAACCCACAGTGAAAATAAGGTAATTTTCTAAATTACCTCTGCCGCTCTGATATCGACGATTTTGGTATCGCTGGATTCCTCTCACTGTGCACATTGCATATATATAGTTTTTTTTGCGTGGAAACCCCCCATCAGTGACAAACTTGGCCCCGATAGCAGGAGAGGGCCTGAAAGGTTCCAGGGAAAATGTGGGGTTAAATAACACTAATAATATAATGCACAGTGAAAATAACCATGGTTATTCACACGACTTTCCATTGCAGAGGGCTGCGCCCCATGCTACCCCCTCAACCACCGCCAAGGAAACAAAACCTCCACCACGTATTCACAGCAGGCTAGAGAGTTACACAAATATCGTCGCGGCGGCGGTGGTGGCCCACCCTCATTGGCTGTGCGGGTTTTGCCCCTTTCTCGTTGCATCTAGTTCGTGTGCACTCTATCCTGCCGTGAATACATGGGGGATATTTTGTTTCCTCGGCAGGGGTTGGGGCAGCCCCCCTCCAGAGGGGGAAGTTCACGTGAATAACCATGGTAATTTCACTGTGGGTTATATTATTAGGGTAATTTTCTATATTAAGTCCGCCGTTCCAACATCGTCGCCCCTGCTATTGGGGCCAAGTTTGCTGCTAACGGTGGGTTCCTGTGTAGTAAAACCAACATATTTGTATTATATAGAGTAAGAGGAATCCAACACTACCAAAATCGTAGATATCGGAGCGGCGGAGGTAATATAGAAAATTACTGAAAATAATCATGGTTATTCGCATCACTTTCCATTGCGACCCGCAATGGAAAGTGATTATCGTCGATGTCGGAGCAGCGGACATAATATTACAATTACCTCGTAACATTCCTACTGAATCAGCATACTAACCTTGACATAGTCAGCATTGTATACAGAGACAATTGTAGTGTAATCAGGATGAACAGCTTATACCATGAACAGAAGAGCGGCGGTGGCCCGCCCTTGTCGGCAGGTTTTGCGCCTCTCTCGATGTTACACCGATGGCCTCGGATGATGGAGTGGAATGATGTGTGTACACTAGAAAGACGTATATTAGAGTCAGCCAATAGATAGCAGTTATTATCGTATACAGTTACTGAAGTGACTATGTCGCCATCTATTGTATAAGAACGTAAACTCAAGGTTTTCTGTCCTCTGGAACCATGATAATCATATTTACCGAAATAACCGCCGCATTTGGTACATCACAGCTGTTGTGATGACCAAATGTAGAGGATGCTCCTACTCGGAGACAGATTTCAGGAGCACCCTCCCTACTATCAATCAAGTTATTACCTTAAAAATCCTAGGTTATGGTAGGTTATCGGCTCCGCACCTAGTTCGTGTACGCTCTATCCAGCCGTGAAGACGTGATGGATTCTTTGTTTCCTCGGCGGGGATTGGGGGGTAGCAGCCCCCTGCAATGGAAAGTCATCTGAATAACCATGGTTATTTTCACTGTGGGTTATATTATTAGGGTAATTTTCTATATTATGTCTGCCGCTCCAACATCATCGCCCCTGCTATCGGGGTCAAGTTTGTCGCTATTGGGGGATGTCTACACAATAAAACCTACATATTTGCATTGTATAGAGTGAGAGGAATCCAACGATACCAAAATCGTTGATGTCATAGCAGACGTAATATAGAAAATTACCCATCCTTTTCTAAGTCTGGAATAAGTTATTTACAGCAACGCTTGTAGATACAGGGAAATGGATGCCGCCATCTTATAGAGCGGGAAAAATAAAAGGGGATAGAATAAAGTATAAGGTGCGCAGGCCTTATAGTCACCGCTAAATTATGAAAATATAATGTACGGGTGCCTTTCAAATTCAAAGTCGATGAGCTTCTTTACGTTGCAAAGAAAAACACAACACTGACCCACGAACGCATTTTTGCGTGTATCATTACACGCTTGTCAAAATGATGTTTGGTTAATTATCTGTGTCTGCTGGTACACATTTATGCCTTTAAAGTCTTTTGTTAATGTTATTATACTTCATTTGTATATTTTAATATTTATTTATACTCTCATATAGAATCCTGTGCATCGAGTCTTTCACACTTTCTTGCGCCAGCCACAGGTTGACAACTCACCAGCCCATTCATTTCGAGCTAGGACGCCAGTGAGAAATGTTGCATTTCAAGTGTCGTGTTGATTCTGGGTTGATTTTAAGGCTATTACAATGGCATCGAAGAATAATTAATTAGACTTTAGTAACCATCCCAGTTATATACCTGAACCCATCAAGAACTCCAAATGACGAAAAAGGTGATTCAAATCGAAGCAATCCCAACGGTACAAAGGAACAGGTGGAGAGAATGTGTCCTGGGGGGTGTTGGGGGGCTTGCCCCCCATCAGACCTCCTCCCAGGCAGTACCCAAAGGGCACCCCTACTTACGGCAGTTTATATTGATATATTAGGTTGGTTTATTGGTCAATACATTTTTTTAGGGGGTTGGAACGTGTGAATTCCCATAGAGTTTTGTCGAAAGGTGGGTTGGGTTCCCGTAGAGTTTTTTATTTATGGCGTGTCAGTCCGTAGAATTTCAGAAATGGCGGTTACATCCATAGAGTTTCATTGGCCGATTTTAAGTGTTTTTTGTGATAGTTTTACATAATTTTGATCATTATTCTTCTTATTTAAGCTTGTTTTATCCCATAATTCCCCTGATATACTTCATGCCCTCCCCTGCTAACAGGACTATCAAATCAAGAGCATTGATGGAGATATGGTACTCAATCTCCTGAACAATTCATTCACAGAAGAAACAACGCTGAAAATCAACTAAATCATAGGATTTCATGCAGAAAAACATAAATTTTTTTCAACTTAGTCTCTGGGAGGGTGCGTCGCTCTCTGTTACAATTACCCTAAGTCCTTCACCACGTTGACATCCCAAAGGTAAACATTACTATGACCTCTTAACTCATTACTGTGATATATCAATGAGTTCATGTATTACTGTGTGCTTCTGAAGATTATTTTGTAAATTTCAATGTCTGGTTTTCCTAATTCATGAACGTTATCCATTCTTTTATTTTTATTACACTTTTTTTTGCGTGGTTTCATAGTTATACGATACTCTTTACAAAATCCTAAAGTGCATTTGCACTTTCTACTGGGATTTCAAGATCTGGCAATTGCCGTTCCTTGACAAAATGCCGGTGAGAAATGTTTCATTTTCAGTATTGCGTTGGAGAAATGGATTAACGAGTGAGACGCACCCCGCAGTCGGAGCGCGAACCCTGATACTGTGTCACACTGGCAGGACGCCCGGCAATGTTTATTTTTTCGGGTATCTTTTTCTTTAACTAAAATTGCATCTGGGAGAGTTGATGAAGACTACAAAGGTAGTTTCAAAATATCGGCATTTTTGTGTTTACATACATTTTCATAGCTGTTTTGGTATTAACAAAACAAGGTATAAGATTAGTCTTCCTACACCATAATCCTCTATCATCTACCTACACTCCGAAGTTTTGTGGACACTGCCAGCACGTAACAGTTTTTCTAAATCTTATGTATAGTGTAGGAGGGTGGCAGAGATTTCATGGGTTTATAGGTCTACATGGACCATTCTTTTAAATTTCTCAAAAAAAAAAAAAAAATAATAATAATAATCATACAGCCATTCTGATTGCATGTCTATGTAAGACAATCTTTCTATTATAATATGCAGAAGCCACTTTTGGTTTCTATAGGCCTACGTTGACCGTTTAAAAAAAAAATCTCAAAAATCCATGTCTGTATAGAACAATCTTTCTCCTATAATATGCAGAGACTTTTGAGAAGTTGACCTTACTTTTTTTTGGGGGGTGTGAATATTTTTCAAAGGTGACTGTCAAAACACCCTAATATGAGATTTTGAAAATATATGTCACTTTTATAAGAAGCACATGAAATTATAGGAATCCCTTATTGCACCATGTAATAGATGTAATAAAAATGTGGACCAAAACATCGCAATATTTTTCCTTTTCATTATTTATATGTTTTACACGACAAATCAAGCATGAAGTACTTGTACATGTTATGATTATCTATTTCTTACCGTTATTGTTGCTCTAATGATGTTTTACGACACAAAATACTGGTTGGAAAAATTATTGTTCTCCAGTCAGACGGGTATGACACGGGTTTTCATCCCGAGCGAGACGGGTGTCACCACGCCATTGTTTTTCTGTCTTTTCACCCATATTTAACTCTTCGGGGCCACGCACCCAACTCTTACAGTATCTCGCCCGTAAAATGACATGCAAGTACAGGGCGGTATAGAAATAAGTATATAAAGTATGTAAGGATATATAGATCATTTCTGTGTATCCCATGACTTTTTGTTTGTTTATATCGTTACTTCTGTATGTTTGGTTGTTTGTTTGTTGATTGATTGTTGTATTTTTGCTCGCTCTCGCGCGCCTTATTATGTTCAAGACATTTTGCAGAAGGATAAAATGGATGAAATATGATCCAAAGATAAAAATATCAAAGCTTCTCAAAAAACAGCATATCACGCTTTGGCCCTGTACCAACTCCTGCCCCTAGGCCCCCTGGGTTTAACGGGAGGTTCGGGGGAGGTGGGCCTTGCCAGTCCTCCTCCCCCCAGATAAAAAACCCTTCGGCAGTGAGAAATGTATATAGTAATGCTGGGAGGAGGGGAACTGCTCCTCCCACCCAGCAAGAGAAGCGGGCTGTGGATCCCGCTGGGAGGGCGACTTCCAGGACGCAGGTCGGGAGTTAGAACTACTCGTCCCACCTGCGTTCTGGTTGATGCCAGCCTGGAGTGAAGCTTATGGGGGAAAACCTTCTGGAGCTCCGTAGGTGGATGATGGGTTCCACAGCCTGCCGTCCCCTTATACGTGGAGCAGCATCAGCGGGGGTGGCAGAGGTGGCGTCCACCCGGAGCGACTACCTGAGGCTAAACCTCAGGCGGGGAGTCAGGGTGGGGGCTTGGAACTGTTCTTTGCGTCAGGATGATCGGTTGCCTCTGCTGTCGAGGGAACTGGGGAGGCTGAGAGTGGAGGTGGCTGCTCTCTCGGAGGTGAGAAGACCTGGCAGCGGAACGATCAGTGTAGGTGGCTACACCTACTACTGGTCAGGCCGCAGCGACGGTCACCATCTCCAGGGAGTAGCCATGGCCATCTCCAGCAGACTCCAGCCCTCGGTAGTAGAGGTTACTCCAGTCGATGAGCGTATAATGGTAATGAGACTGAAGCTGTCTTTTGGCTTCATATCTCTTATTGCTGTGTACGCTCCTACCGATGTTTGTAAACTTGATGTGAAAGAGATGTTCTATGCCAAACTAGCATCTGTGTCAGACAGGTGCCCCAGGCGAGATATTCGTGTTCTGGGTGACTTCAATGCGGTATCTGGCTGTGATCGAGCTGGCTATGAGATGTCTGTCGGTCCCCATGGTTCGGGAGCTGATACCGGCAGCGAGAATAGCCTCCTTTTCCGGGACTTTGCTAGGTCCCAGAAATTGAGGATTTCTGGCTCCTGGTACCAGCACCCAGACTCATCGCTGGACATGGTACAGTGATACGGGTAATGCAGCCAAGGAGACCGACCACATACTCGTTAGCACTCGTTGGAGGATCCTTCAAAATTGCAGGGTGATGCAGCTCAAGAGACAATTGGTGAACGAACACCCGTGAGCAAGGCGAATTTTCATCTCGCAGGAGACACTGGATGCCACAGATGCTTGCCGTGTGGCTCGTCTGGCAGGGGATCGAGATTTGCACCGTTCTCAGGTGCGATCTCCAAGCTGAAGAGTGGTAAAGCAGCTGGTATATGCGGCATCCCAGCTGAACTGTTAAAGGCTGGTGGTGAACCTATGGAGCGGAGGTTGCATGCCGTCCTGGCTGCCATCTGGCGGTATGGTACTGTTCCCCCTGACCTGTTGAGGGGTGTAGAAATCCCTCTTTGGAAAAGGAAGGGGGACCGATGGGACTGCAGCAACCACCGAGGCATCACACTGCTTAGTATACCAGGCAAGGTTCTAGCCCACATCCTTCTGAGATGTATCAGAGATCACCTACTGAGGCATCAGAGACTGGAGCAATCTGGATTTATTCCTGGTAAGTCCACAATAGACCGTATACTAGCACTTCGAGTCATTATAGAGCGTCATCATGAGTTCGGGCATGGGCTGCTTGCAGCCTACATCGACCTCAAGAAGGCATTCGATACGGTGCATCGGGAATCACTCTAGGAGATCTTGAGACTGAGAGGAATTCCAACAAGGATTATTGGACAAATAGCAAGTCTGTATATTGGTACTGAAAGTGCTGTAAAGTGTGGTGGGGGCCTGTCAAGCTTCTTTCCTGTTAGTTCAGGAGTGAGGCAAGGCTGTGTCCTTTCACCAACGCTTTTCAACACTTGCATGGACTGGATAATGGGCAGAGCTACTGTTCAAAGTCATTGTTCAAACTCTGGGCAATGTCAAGGTTACCGACCTTAACTTTGCTGATGATGTTGCCATATTATCTGAGTCTTTGGAATCCTTAGTGGTTGCTCTTGATGTATCTAGTAATGAAGCGAAATCCTTGGGTGTAGAGGTCTCCTGGACCACGACCAAGATCCAGGACTTTGGGGACATATTAAGAGAACCTGTTCAGTCGGTACGTGCTTGCGGCGAGGACATTGAAGTAACAGAGAGCTTTACATATACTACATGCTCTCTCTTGCTGTCAGGACTTAATATATCAAGATTGTCAACTGTGATTATGGAAATGATCCTCAGATTCGTACTTGTCACATGAGAATAAATCAAATGATATAAATATTGTCTGGGAAGTCCCTATTGTCATAAATGGTAGAATAACCATTTCTTGTTTCAATTATGTACTTTTTAACTTCTGTGAATCTGTAGTTGTTTTCCAGTGCAAATGCTTTCCAAATGTATAGAAATCATTGTGCAGAAACACCCCAAAACCCCCACATTCGATGGCTGGGATAGCAGGGGAGAGCATAGAAGGTACCAGGGAAATTGCGGGGTAAAATATTAATGATATGAACAGTATCAGTTAGTTTATTGTCTAATTCAGGGGGCTACCACCCTCCAACCTCAACCTGCTCAGCTAGGGGGATGATTGTCATACCCAGTTCTGTTGTACATATGTCGTGGATTCTGTGTCTTTCAGAGTGTGGGTTGGGGAGCAGCAGCCCCCCTTCCATTATACATTACAGTGACTTATTCATTGTGTATTACTTTATTTATGTATTTACAATGTTCTATCCATATTTTATCCGGCAATGTCCCTGGTGCCTTTCATATCCTCCCCTGCTATTAGGGCCAAGGTTGTTGCTAATAGGAGGTATATTTGCAGTATAGTTTCAATATATTTGGAGAGTGGAGAGTAAAAGGAATCCATCAATACCAAAAGCATCGCAATCAATTATGCGAAGGTATTCTGGAAAATTACCACACTTTGTTGATGCACATTAATGGTATATAGGGGGCTTTGTCCCCCAATTCCCCTTATTGGGTGGTCTGCCATATAGAGTAAAAGTGTCATTACAAGGTCAGATTCGTCAGTTTCGATGTTAACCCATTTACGACGGGTGTCCTACATATGAGACACCCGGAAAAAAAAAGTTGGGCATTCCACCAGTGTGATGCTGTATCGGAGCTCACGCTCCAACTCAGCAGCGGGCCGCGGCTGCGCGCGGACAGAGTCCAGACCAGCCCCACGTGCCAATTTTGTAGCCGCCTGGAAACTTTTATTTTTGGCTTCAAAATATACTCGCAGTAGTGGGTTAAATGTAATTTTTTTTTTTTTTTTTTTTTTTTTTTTTTTTTTTTTTCTTTAATACCTGTTATTTTCCATCACAAATGATATAAATGAAAGTATTGTTACTTGTTTATAAAGTGACTACACACCTCCGAAATTGTTACTCCAGCCACTCCTATGAATCAACAAACATCACCCTATGAAGCAAAGACCCTCCTAACCTGGGGCTTTGTCCACAGACCCCCACCAATTTTTTTTTCTTTCATTCTTTCTTTCTTCCTTCCTTCCTACTTGGGGCTCTGCCCCCAGACCTCACACAGTCACCACAGATATACTTTCTGTATAAAATTTTTCAACTTATTGTCTATGTTTCTAACATCAATCTCAACCTGTGTAGTTAATTTTATGTATCAGTGAGTCTAGCTTTTCCCCTTTTTCTATCATGGTCATTAGCTTTTCATGCAAATGTATGCTTCAGCATTATTTCTTACACAACATTCTTAATATCAAATTGTTAACCATTTGGATTCAGTTGCATCTCGGCAGTCACGGAGCTCAAAACCCAGGCAATGGACCAGTATCCCAGGCATGCAGCACGTAGGCCAGGCGCACACAAACACCCATGAATAGTGACAATACTCAGTGCCTCTCCTTTGCTTAGTTATTTTGTATAAACTTTTTTTAGTTTTATAGCCATTTTACAAAGTCTTTTGATTTGCTAAATAACAAAAAAAAATTGGTAAATAACCATTTTTTCGTATTTTTCAATTTTATGTAATGCAACCAGCACCACCGGTCACAGCAGCCAAGAATACAGTGTGTATCATGGAAATGGCTTCCTCCCAGGAGCCGGCACTCTTCCAGTTACTGTGTACACACTTTACATTCCATATTCGTATATCATTGATAATAATGCTAAAGCCCCCTTCTGTGCGCCAAATGAATCAAATCACACTCCAAGAGGTTTGTGCACTCGCGGCTAGTCTTCGCTCATGACAGCAGTTCGTGTCACCCAGGACATGGCCAATTTGCCTGGTTGACGGCATGTTCACTTCACCTGCCCCTCAGCTCAAGTTTTTCTGTGACATGACTACAAAGTCATCCGGGTCCAATGGGTTAAGGAAATACCATAGATGAAAAGTGTCTTTCTTGTCATTCTATCCACTACAAACAAATTTACTTTGTACTATACAGATGTGTGAAACTGAAACTATACCAGTGGAATGACACTA